CTAAGACCAAGCGGGAAAGGCTGGCTACGGCCCTTACTCCCTTCCCAGCCCACTCAGCAGGTTTGGGGCCATGCCTTGTGGCTGCATGAGCTGGTGTCACCACAGCGTTGATGTAATCCTTCCTCCATGGTTGCCTGTCTGCGTGTCCACCTCCTCTACAGAGCCTCCCATGAGCTCCCTTCTCTCACTTGAGCCATGACCTGAGCTCCCAGCCCCCAGCCTTGTGAACCTCGCCGGCCATGCAGGGCTGTGTGATGCAGTGCTGTCCTTTTTTGTAAATCTGAGCTTTTTTAGCGAGCTGTTCAGATGGCAATTAATTTTGGTGTGGACAGTTTAGAGCCCTGTTGCCTTTAGCCAGCTGTATCTAGGTTTCCAAAAATGATTTTAAAAAAGACGTGAAAGCTTCTGGGACTAATGGCTCTTAGCACATGCATCGAAGACAAATGCAATCCTGAATTATGCCATACTTCATCTGCTTATGGTGTCACACCAGAAACATTTTCTGCTCTGTTCCAAAGCATTTCCAGCCACACTGGTTTCCAGATTAAAAGACATAAACAGGTGTTTGTCCCTTCAGGTTCTAGAGGGGAAAAGCCTCGTGACAGGTGAAGGAGGTGATTTTCCCTCTCTACTCCACACTAATGAGGCCCCCCCGAGTTCTAGGGCCCCCAGCACAGTAAAGATGTGGAGCTGTTGGAACAGGTGCGAGGTTGGCCACAAGGATGGTCAGAGGACTGGAGCACCTCTCCAGTGAAGACAGGCTGAGGGAGGAGGGAGCTGGGCTTGTTCAGCCTGGAGAAGAAAGGGCTCCAGGGAGACCTCATTGTCTTCCAGATTCCTTAAGGAGTCTTAAAAACAGAAGGGATTTAGACTTTTTACATGGTAGTGATAGGACAAGGGGGAACAGTTTTAAGCTAAAAGAGGGGAGATTTAGGTACAGCATTAGGAGGAAATTCTTTACTCAGAAGGTGATGAGGCAGTGGCACAGCTACCCAGAGAAGCTGTGGGTGCCCCATCCCTGGAGGCGCTCATGGCCAGGTTGGATGGGGACCTGGGCAGCTGATCTGGTGGGGGGCAGCCCTGCCTGAAGCAGGGGATTCAGAACAGGTCAATCTTTAATATCCCTTACAACCCAAGCCAATCTATGATTCTGTGATCTAGAAGGATTAAAACATTCTAGGAGTGCATGTTGCTCTGTTAGGGACTAAACAGGGCCTTTGCTGCAATGCTGGAGGGTAGAGCAAGAAGGTCAGTGTGTGAATCAGCAGTGGAGTTTTGAGTGCTCTGAAATCTGTCCTTATAGTTAGTGCACCAAAAATTCTTCACTTGAGTGTCCTTTTCTTGAGCTTGTTCTTGTTGTGATTGGGGGCAGCCAGCATTGGTGCTTTGTTTCTTATTCCCTTGGCTAATATTTGAAAAATTCCCATGAGTTTTCTAAATAGTACAGTGAGAGACCTTTACAGAACAACAAAGTGATTTGATTTTTTTTCCCCCAGTATCTCTAGTGGGTTTATTTTGCACAATCACGCTCATTCTCTCATGAATTTCTTTCATGCACTATTTTGCATCCCTGTGCTCACAGCCACTAGATGTGCTATGTCTATGTGGTCTTTGTAGCACAGAGGACATGAGACAGTGGCTGCTGAGCCCTCATCGCATCCTGAGACTGTTCTTGGCAGACAGCAACAACCCAGTTTGGGTCTTTCATACTCTTGAGGGCACTGATGTTGTTTAGAATTTTTTGCTTCATTGTTTTCTCTCATCTCTCATAACTCTCAGACAGACTTAATGAATTTAATTTCTCTGTTCTTTTTCCCCTCTTGGTCATGATAATTTATGACCATGATCACGTTCTTCACATTTTTTGGATATCTTTAGGTTTGTCCTTTCTCCTTTTACTTGGGTGAAGTCACAGTAGGGCTGCGACTGACATGTTGGATATGTGCCAGTCCCATGCTCTGCCTATTTCTGGTGCCAGCTCATTTGCTCCTCTCACACACTGTCACAGTGGTTTTGTTCATCACCAGTCTTAACACTTGTCTTGCAGGTTACTGCGTGAGGCTGACTGTAGCAATGTGTCTGGGCCTCGTTCTGTTCCCTCGGTGCCTGGGGACATCTCTGTACATCTTGTGTGGTTAGCCGTGGGATTACATTGAGTGCAGCACACAGCCACCAGAAATGGTTGATGCCCTTGTCAGAGGACATGGTTCACATTGTCTCTCTGTGTGGCAGGTTTGCAGACTGTAAGGCTAGTGTGCATTGATTTGCTCATTTCACTAGTGAAATGGCACACAGATAGACTTCCAGAGCAGAGTTCTGCCTTTTGTTTCTGTGTCTCCCATAAGAGTCTGGGCTGTGCACTGAAGCTCATGATGTGTGTGTGTCTCATGTTAGTGGTGCATGCAGGGCCCACAGCTGCATTGCATGTGTGGGGAGGCACTTGTCTTTGGGAGCAGAACTATGGGGCAAATAAGCAAAATCTTTTCAGTGCCTCTCTCCTTGCCCACACAGTGTTTTCCAAGAGCAAGTGGATGAATCCAGGAGTTTATAATACTGGTGGTAATTTCAGTGTCAAGGGTTTGCTTGACTCTACACTCAGCAAGACATTTGAGGTGAAAGCCTTTTTGCTGAAAGGGAGAGCTGGAGTTTTCTCACTGGATTTGCCAGAGAGCTGTTTTCTGTCTTGCAATGATTTCACATGGGTTGGTAATGTCTCTTGTGGACTGGGTGAGCACACTGCAGCACTGGTGAGAGCATCAGGAAGCCCTGCTAGTTCTGCGTAGAGGTGCTGCAGTGGCTTTACTGACAGGGCTGGAAAAAGCCCGACTGCTAAATGCTTGCTAAAAACAGCAGCACTGAATATTTTATGGTATCAAATCGAAGGCAGAGGTTGTGGAAAGTCAGTAGACTGTCCTGATATGTAGAACATTTCAATAGAGATGCAATATTTCATTTAAGCAGAGGACTTGCTGATGATGCTTTAAGGTCATGCTCACCCAACTACTGCAAGGACTTTTTTCCCCCTTTCCAGCTCTTCCAGAGGAAAAGGCAAAAAAAGGCCTGTGATTATCCAGGAAAAAAAAAACATAAATGCCAGGCTACCTCTGAAGTGTACCCTGAAGTGATTTCCATCCTATGCAATGACTGGCTGCTGCATGTGGAGTTATACATATTATGCTCCAGTGATTCCAAAGAGCATAAGTTTTTTATTTTGGTGCCTCTTCCTGACGTCATGAAAATGTTGTTCTTGTCTCAGTGAATTTTTGTTATCTTACACTAACCTGAGCAATGCGATTGAAATGCTAAAGTTTCACCTATTTAATGCAGACTTCCTGTTTCTATAGCAACAAAAGTCATCCTTGCACTTAGTGGAGGCATGCTGGAGCATGAGTGACTGCAACTTCAGGGCATGGGAAAACAAACAGAAACACTTTGACTTGAAGATCAGGACAATAAAACGGAAGTGAACTCTTTGCACAATTAAAAAAAAGTCACCAAGGCTTGGAATACTTCATTAGTAAGGTTGAAGCCATATTAATGTCATAAGAAGTCCTGTGTTTTAATCTCATTTCCCTAATTAAAATGTAAAAGCCCTTTATAGCAAGTGAGAGTCTTTGAGGGTTTTTTCTCCCCCTTCTTTTCCAAAGCTGTTGTGTTTCTGGTTAAACTAATGAAAATTTGGGCTGCTTCACAACAGATACATTTCCCTTTCGTTTTGACAAAAAAGCATCAGTGTTCTTTGCTACTGGCCAAAGGAAAAGGAAACAAACAGCATGTGGTGCCTAATCCTATATTTGATCTGCAGGCAGCCAGTTCCTTGTCAGTGAGTTCAGATCTGTGTTATAGCGATAAGTGCTGAACAAGCTACAGATCAGAGAGTGAATAAATGGGCAGCTTCCTATTGTCTTACAGCTTTCCAATTACAATTTTAACAACCATTAAATCATAATTTAAAATAACTATAGGAAACATCCCAAGGTAAAACACCAGCGCTGACAGCAACACATCATGAGTGTATATGAGCTTGTGTTTCTGTATCAGCATACTGATAAGTATTCCACAGCAGTTGTGGCAGGTTTATTGTGCTTGGATATTAATCTGTAGAAGTGAATGTAGGCAAGTGAGAAATATGAAATAGGGGGTTCTATTGTATTCCTACTAGTGGAAACATTATGTGTGTTTGGATATATTTGAAAAAGACAGTCCGAATTTGATCTTCAGGGTCTTCAAAAAGAAAAAGAAAAAGCCGCCTTTCTGACAAACTCATTTTCTCAAGAATAAAGGTAGCCACAAGTCAGGTTTTAACAAAGCTTTTAACCTACTGGCATCACTTGTCACAGGGCAGCTGAAACAACTGATGCTAGCAGTGATGATGGTAATTCACCCTACAACAGAAGGAAGGGAGTCAGGATAAGGCAGATATAAGCCTGTCTTGTTTGAAAGTTGATCAAGACTAGTTATTATGAAAAGAAAAACCAAACCCAGAAACAATCCACTCAGCATCTGGCTTGAAACCAGCTGAGTTGCAGCATGTTTAGCTGTGAGAATCTAGCATCCTGTAGGAGCTGGGATCCTACTGAGAGCTGTGCTCTTCTGCCTCCAGGAGACTGATCGGGAAGGTGTCTGGTATCTTTGAGAATTGGGAAAAGGCCCTACGTGACATCTGTGGATCATCTTTCATCTTCTAGTCTCCTTAAATGTTTCTATGGGGAAGGAGGCATAGGCTGACGATCAGAGATGCAGCAGGTCTGCAGGAGATGCAGTATGTGCATAGAAGTTGCACATGTTAGCACCACAGCCTGCTGCTAATGAGCTTCCCTATTGCTGTGAGAGTATTAGAAGCCCATGTACGTGAGGAAACAGGATTTATGGGATGGTACACAACTCTGGCCAAAGGTCTTGATGCTAAGTCTGTGGAATTTCATGAAGCTGGGCAACCTGTTGTGGGGAGGTGCTCCTTTGGAGGGGTCTAAATGCGTTGCATGTGCTCTGTGTTTCAGGGATAGAGCTCTGCCCTCCTTCACACCGGTTCATGATCACCATGGTGGCGAGCTTCATTGAGATGGCAGGACAGTTCCTGATGCCTGGGCTGGCTGCTCTCTGCAGGGACTGGCAGGTCCTCCAAGCCGTCATCATCTGTCCCTTCCTGCTGATGCTGCTCTACTGGGTGTAAGTATTTCTTCCCCTTTGGGTCAAAGGCAGCACAAGTTCCTAATGCTGGAGGTGCCTGGAAGTAAGAGTGCTTCCCCATACGAATAAATTATTACCTTGTTCTTCTACTCATGTTGTGTGAAGTTTTGACTGTGAAGTAAGAAGGAATAATGGTATAGCTTACTGTAGTAGCTGTAAGTTTTACATGTTGATGTGTCAGGACTCAGTAGGTGAGTATTCTGCTGGGCAGAAAGTTGTACTTTGTAATTTCTCTGGCAGTCGCTTCTACTTTATAGATGCAAAAGGACGCATCCCAGCTTAACTGCTTCAAATTGTAGCTGTACAGCTCAGTTTTCTCCTTAAACCTGCACTGTGGTTCTGGGCAGTCACTGTTCATTCCTTTGGCCTCAGTTAGCCCATCTAGGTTAAAAATAACATGCCTCCTCTTGTGAGCATTACGGCTGGGCCCAGTGTGTGCCGAGATGGCCAGCTCTTGAGCCTCCCTGCTAGGTTTTGCCCTAGCAAATTACTGTGTGCTAGGCTGACAGCCAGGTGGCCAGCCTGCACTGGGCAGCATTCCCACAGGTCACTTCTCTGTCCTGGCTCCTTCTGCTCTTCACTGCCAGCCCTATGGGCTGTGCTTTGGCAAAGGGCTCCAGGCCTGGTGCTGCCTGTCCTGGGGAAGTGGGGAGCTCTATCCCCACCAGAACTTCATCAACCTCCCAAAAACGTGTCTTTTTGCTTCTGTCTTAAGAGTGACACACAGTGGTGGCATAACATAGCAGAGACTTGCAAGAGCAGGGTTGTATAAAACCATAACAGTGAGAATAGACTAGATAAGTAATTTTAAAGTAATGCTGGCTACATTTACATATTTAGTTGCTGTGGACTGGAAAAGGAGAAAGTTGATCGTTGTAACACCTAGCAAGTTGCAATGTGTGAGAACTTGTTATGATGCATAACAATTAAGTTCTGTATTTTTTCTGTTCTTGGGTAAAGATAGAGTTCTCATCCATTCATCACTGTAACCGCTTAAGTAGAAATCTCTTTGCCCATCTCTGAGCTCACATAGGTGAACAATGCTTGTTGATGTCTGTGTCCAAGCAGAATGAAGACATCTAACAGACATGATAGACAGGGTGAGTCCGCAGTAGTCATCTGGACATAGCATGCTCCCCACATGGCTGAGGCAGAATCTCCTGCATTTCTTCTGAGAATTCAACAGGGGCCTCTTCACAAGGGATCATAGTAACAGCAAATGCTACAACTTGTTTCCAAATCTGCAAGAGCTTTGTGGTTTTTGGCTGGGCAGGACAGGCAGAGAACACAAATTAATCCCGCTTAGATGATACGTGATATGGCACACAGGAGTAATAGGCAAAGCAGCAGAATTTACTTTGCCTGGCGTTTTTGCATTTGCTGAAATGGGCTCTGTTAGGACAGCTGTTCAGTTATACTGTGGTATGTATAAACTCATCTAAATACACTCACACGTATGTATACTTTACCTACAATTAAGTTCTTGCTAAGGGTGAGATCCATATTGCAGTAACCTTAAAAAATAGTAACCTAACAGTACAAGTGACTGCTCCACTGTTTAGAAGAGCTGGGGCAGCATTTGCAGCAAGGGTCAGTGCTTCGTGAAGGAAGTATGAGGTTTACTGTATATTTGAAGTTAAAAGAAGCTGATAAATTCATTCTTAGAGAGGTCTTTTGGAAAATAAATGAAAAAGAGGCCAAAGCAAGAGGAAAAAAAAAAAGTCTGTTCTGAAAGTATCTGTATTGATGGAAGTGTAGGGCTTCGGTGGTGATGGTGGCTGGTGGGGGTTTTTGGCTGGTTTTTTTTTAAATCTTTATATTTATTTTGTGTTGCTTTTGTTTGTTTGATTGTTTGTTTTAAATAAAAATGAAATGAACTTACCTGAAAAACATAGGGAAGAATTAAGCTGGAGAATTCAGGCGAATGTCAGCACTTGAGGGAAACAAGCAGATGAAAACAAACTCTTTTATATTATAACTGTGCATTTCTGTATATGCTTGTAAGGCAACTCAGTTAACATAATCTTGTCTTTACTGGGAGAAACTTTTATAGCAGCAACTGAACTTTATCTGGAGTGCACACCATACTCACCCGTATAAAAGAATGCCTTAAAATCTGCATGTGAGGAAGAAGATTTTTAACGTGTTTAAAAATTAAAAAATTCTGTTCCATTATAATCCTGGAAAGTAATTTTTCACTTTTTAATCTCCATCTTTACAAGAGAATTCAAATCACTTCTGTCATATGTTTTCCTTCTGTGGCCTGAATTATCCTGTGTAACTGCACAGCTCATCTATCCCCTGCCTGGCAGCGAATGTCTCCTGCATAAAGTGCTTCCTCCTTCTCCCTGTCCTTTCACAATGGTATTAATAGGCAGAACTCCTCTAATATGTTATAAAATTCTAATATGACCTATCTCAAGGTGATAAGATGGTTCTGTATTATTTGTGGATCAGTGTAAAAGTGAATGTCACCAATTCCTGTGCCCTGAGCCTTTTTGTTCTTACGTTTTTTAACAGGTGATTTTTCCACTTTTTGAAAATAGTTATATTAGCTACTAATACTTAATGAGCAGCGACCCGCTATACTTCTCCTCTGGCAGAAACTGGGGAGCAACCCTAATGTGTTTTCCATCTCTGAAGTATTTTCCCAGAGTCCCTACGGTGGCTGATGGCTACGCAGCAGTTTGAGGCATCCAAGGAACTTATCCTGCAGCTCACTCACAAGAACAGGATGAACGCAGAAAGCGACATCAAAGGAGTGGTGCCTGGTGAGTACAGCATGAATCCGTCCATTCAGGCAAAATCGTTTTCTAAAGTTATTATCCAGAATTAAACAGTCTATTTATTGCCTGTAAAAATCATTCCACTTCTTCATTAATTTTGTTGCTCTTGAAAAACTGCTCTAAAGTCCAGAACCATCTTTAAAATTACAGTCTGATGAACAGTTCTAGTAATTACATTTCATCTGGCAGTGCCATATGCTTTTAGGAGCATCTTTTGGATGGTTTTACCATGGCTGCAGTGTGTCAGTTCAGTGTGCCTCTGGTAACTGTTGTAAGGAAGCTTCTGGCTGGGGTCCTGCCCATCACACAGAGATGGGTGAGACGGCAGCACCCAAGCCACAATTTCCAAAACGTCAGCCGCATGGCAGAACTAAATCACATCCTATTTCTGTATCAAATCTTGCGCCTGTTCTATCTGAGCAGTGCTGTCCTGGGGGCTTCTGATCCTACAGTCTTGATAGTGTGCATAAATACCCATTTACAGTGTCTCTTGCAGACTTCCTATTCGCCAAAAAACTGTGGAAGTGCTTTTGGTTATTTTTCACTATTTCATACTCTACCTACTCTTACCTCAGGAGCTGCAGGGGTACCTCACCTGCACGCCTGCCTGCTATTAGGAGTGATGCTTTCCCCAATCTGGCTGTAGAACGAGGCTTTACTTTTCTAGAAACATTAAGATGAGAAGAGTGCCAAGTGGGTTAAATGAGTTTAACTAAAGATTTTGGAAGGGCCTTCTGTCTTTGTAGGTGTAAGGGGGCACTGATAATGTGAGTGAGGACATGAGAAAAGTAGAAATCCTGAGTGAAGAATTTGATCAAACTGCAGTCGTTATGTGTCTGGATGGGTCTGTAAGCAGAAGAGAGCACATTTCTGTTTTTGTGTGTTGTAATCACAAAGACATCATTGCTGTAGCAGGGAATGGTAAAAAAGCCTGTACTTGTCTGTGTGAGAGGATGCCATTCAGCCTGATGCTGATAACTCCTATTTCTTAAATCTATTGCTGAGCTTTCTTGTCTGCATGGAAAGGGTTTTTGTTTGTGATTTCTTTTATGCTCTGAAATGGCTGGGAAACGTTTTGCTTCAGTTCAGGTCTGTTGTGTTGCTGTTTAGTGTTAGTGATAGTAGTCTTGTGTGACTGAGTGACTCAATGTGCTGTCCCATACAGTCTCTTCCAGCTAGAAACCCCAGTGTAATTCTACTCACTTGTAACAGTCAAATTAATATACCTTGTGTAACAGATTGTTACTGGAGTTGTATGTACACTTTTTGGCAGCTTATAGCTGTTCTATAACAGAAAGAATTAGCATTCAAATGGATGAAGTATTTCTGAGATGGAAGAAAATGCAATTCTGAATTGTGGTCCAAGGAGTGAAGAGGTGTATTTTCCCTTCTGAAGAACTGTACTCTCTCATTGTTGCAAGAAAGTTTTTAGTTGTCCCTTTGGTTATGCTACACATAGTGGAGACCAACCTTCTGTATTCTCTTTGTGCTGTAGAGAGGTGGCCCACGTGTTAGCAGAAAAAAAAAAACAAACTTGTTTGGTCTGTTTGAGCAGTTTTCCAGTGTTCTTCTAGAAGGTGCCTCTAAGGAGAAGAATGAATTGTCTTAATAGTGGTCACGTTGGGGTTGTGATAACAGCCCTTCTGACTGGAGACCAGCATGGACAGCTGATGGGTAGTGCTTAGCCCACAAAGCAGCAGGCAAACATTAAAGCTGGACAAGAGACATGGATTGGGGTTGAGAGCACTGTAAATTAACATTACACTCATCTTCTCAGTGACCTGAGCAGTGTCTCCCAGGGAACGGTGCTCTTTGACATTTTATCAATGACATAGATGGTGATTAAGTGCACCCTTACCAAGTTTGTTGTTGACACCAAGCTGAGCAGTGCAGTTGATGCAGCAGAAGCAAGGGATGCTATCGAGTGGAGCCTTGATAAACTTGAAAGGTGGGCTCCATGTAAACCTGATGAGATTCAACATAGCCAAGTGTAAAATGTTACAGTTGGGTCAGGGTAATCCCAGATATGTATACAGACTGGGAGAAGAACTCCTTGAGGGTAGCCTTGCTGAGGAGGATTTAGCAGTTCTGATAGATTAAAAACATTACATGAGCTAGCAGTGTGCTTGCAGCCTGGAAAGCCAGCAGTATCCTGGGCTGCATCAGAAGGGAGTTGACCAGCAGGGAGAGGGAGGGGATTGTCCCCCTTTCCTCTACCCTCATGAGGCTCCAGCTACAGTACTGCACCCAACTCTGGGGGCCCCAGCACAGGAAAGATGTCAGGCATTTGGTCATGAAGATGACTCAAGGGCTGAAGCACCTCTCCTCTGAAGACAGGCTGAAGGATCCAGGCTTGATCAGTCTGGAGAAGAAACGGCTGATATGAGGGGAGACCTCATTATGGCCTTCCAATATTTAATGAGAGACTATAAACAGAAGGGAAATCAACTTTATTCGTGGGTAGATAATGACAGGATAAAGAGAAATGGTTTTAAACTAAAAGAGAGAAGATTTAAATTAGATCTCTGGGAGGAATTTTTTGCTGAGAGAGTGGTGAGATGCTGGAACAGGTTGCCCAGAGAGGCTGTGGGTGCCCCATTCCTGGAGATGTTCAAGGCCAGGTTGAATGGGGCACTGAGCAGCCTGATCTAGTAATTGATTTAACAATTGACAGCCCTGCCTGTAGGGTTTGGAACTTAATGATTCTTGAGGTCTTTTCTGATCCAAGCTATTTTGTGATTCTGTGACTGCCCTGTGGATGTGAAAGCAGTGTATGTTCTGAACTGCAAAACAAATGGATGGTTGCCCCCTTAGCAAGGGCTTTGTTCTGGGACAACTGGTATACCTTTTGATTTTGGCTATGAACAGTTTGCCATCTTGAGATTTGGTGGTTAATGCAGTTGTGTTTTCTTCTTTAACACAAGAAAAGTAGAGAATTTCTGTGAAAGCCCACCCTGATATCACTTTGCCTATCTTCTTTGGTGAATGATGGTCTGGATGTTCCCTAACAGAAAAAAAACCAAAACCGCTTGACTGGACAGAATATCGAAAATGGTTTCTATTGTTCAACTCTAGATGAAAACAAACCAGATGGGTGTTGTGGACATAGTGTGTATAGACATTGCTTTCTGTTTCAGAGGAAGAAGGCACAAAAACATTTTTGCAGCTTGGAGAAATAATACTGATGGAATTACAAAAGTGTATGATGGTGACAAGTATTGTGTGTGCATATGAATGCTGATTGCAGTTAGGAAAGCTGTGCTTTTCAGGGGATTTTTCTTTGAATTAAAAAAAAAAAAAGTTCACCTTATGTTTGAGTCAGTCTCCTTTCCTAATATGAGAAAATAACTACAAAACCTTAGATTGTACCCTTAGGCCACCACAGCTACAACTACAGTACTGTGTACAGATTGGGATAGATGAAGAGCTAGGTGTATTAGACAGAGGAAGAAAGCAAGTTTCCTAGCTCAGTAATACAGGGTGGCTTCATGTGATGCTGCTCCATATACAAACCTGCTGGACGTGTTCCTTTACAAGATCTTGTTTCTTGGTTGTTTATTAGTGCCAAGCTTAAATACCCCGTGCAAGTCCCAGGGGTTAGTCAGGTACATTGTGGGAAATTCAGTTCAAACCATTGGAATAAAGGCAGCCTTTAAGTCTCACGGACAAAAGAGATTTCTGTGTTAAAGGAAACCAGCCAGCAGGCAGTGATTTCTGTTGCCCTCTTGAATATCCGATCAGTTTTCAGAAGGGGCTCGTTTTTTTCCTGACAGTCCTCTCTTGTCTGCCAGTGGCAGCTGATGGAGTTTGTGCAGCTCCTTCAAGGCGTGCCATACAGGAAAAGTAGTGAGCAACAAGGGTAAGAGTGATGAATGTAAGTCTTCTTTTGCTGGCTGGATATACAGAAGTGGAGGAGGAGCTCATGCATGTATTGGCTGCATGTATCCCTGTGAAGACAGTAATGACCTGACAGCTACAGGATTTGAAGTGGGAATGGGGTAGAAGGGAGCACTGTACTGAGGATGTGCCTTGTGGTGCCACGGGGAAAAGCCAAATATGCTGTAAAATAAAATAAAAAGTAAAAACAAAGAAACAACTGGGTGGTGATCAGCTTCTCTTAAAGCTTGACTGAATTTCAGTGGGAGCTGAGCATGGAAGGCTCGCAGCAAACCCTGGTGCTCTCAATGCCTGTGTGAACAGGGCATGGACGTGGGGCGAGGAGAGGAAACCAATCAGAAGAGGAAAGCACTAAGAGGGTCTGCTAATAGAGAGGAGAGGGAGTAGGAGAGTGAAAAGAGTTGTGGGGGCAAAGTATGAAGATAGTTGAAGGTGACCTCCGCGGGCAAAGGCAACGGGGGACAGAGGGCATTAATGGCTGTAGAGGGAGGAAGAAGGAGAACTAGGGCACAAAGACCAAGGCTGTGACCATTTGCTTCCTTCTCCCTCCAGAGCAAGTTGTCAAGCCCTAGGATGCAGTCTCAGCATTCTTCTCCTGTGAAACCCACTTCTAAAATGTGTGCCTCACCCCTCTGCTGCCCAGCTTGCTTGAGCATCCCTCCATAGCTCCAGCCACAGGTAGCTGTAACGCCTGCGTAGGCATCTGAAACATGATGGCCCAAATACAGCTCCACACAATGACATTTGTCCAGCTCTACACAATGACATCTTTTGTTGTTGTTTTGGTTTGATTTTTTTTGGTTGTTGTTTTTTTGGTAAGGTGAGCGGAATGTAAACACTGGCAAGTCAGGCTCTCAGAAATGCAAAAAGTCAGGTTGTCTGGGCAACCCTTGTTTGGCCTCCTGGCACGAAGATAAGATGCTACAGCCTTTAATAACATGACTGCAACCTATTTTTTCACAGGACATAGGATGGATGAATCAGTGCATAGGATGGACGATGCTGTGGGAATGAAGCTGTTGTCTGTTCCTCATTTGTTGCAGAATTTGGAAGGTGTGTAGTGAATGAGCCAGAGGGTTGCAGGAGGAAAGAGGGCAGTCTTGGGGGAACGAAGCTGAATAGCTCCTGAAGAGCTGTACTGGTGTCTGTGTCCACCAGGGATGTTCGTGCACAATGATAGAACATTCCCTGCAATTAAGTTCTTCTAGTTGTCACCAATGATTGTTTCTTCAGTGTGTGTCTCTATGGCATGTATTTCTGGGGCTTGGTTTGCAGAAAGGTAGAGTGTTTATTTCAGTACCTACAATGAATATTGCATGCAGAGAATTCTGAGCAACCCAGCACTCATCTTTCTCAAGCTATACTCCTAAAAATGCTGAGTGATTTTTTCTCATTCCAGACATTATTCCTCTGCATTTCATCTCCCTGCATTGCAAAACTGGAATAATCTTATGAGAAAGCAGTGGAGGTGATTTCATTGATATTTATGAAGCACGTGAATATTCTGACAGCACTGTGGGAATGTCTCTGAGGAAAGCTACGATTTTGTATTCACTGTGAGGTCTGAATAATAAGGCAGAGGGGCACGTCTTGAATGAGAAAGGTAGAGAATATCATTAATAGCTGCTCGTTTTCTGACTGCACTGAACATTTTGGAAGAGAAAACTAATGTGAGATCATCTAATTAAGTGCTGTATCATAATGCGTATGAGCAACTGAAAATTGCAATGGCAGCCTTGCATCTGGCTTTTCCCACCTTTTTTTGAATGTAATTAGAAACACGGGATTGAAACAAATTATTGCAGTCAGTCCTTTGTGGTTGTAGTCAATGAGTTATGCAGTTGCTCTGATTACCCGAGATTCATCTTAAATGCTGTTAGCTTTTTTGTCCCGTGCTTTTGTTGGAAAGCCATTCCCTCATCCAAATCACCCTTACGCTTGGCTGCGTTTTAGCATTCAGTTCAAATATGCTGTAGCTGTCCAGATTCTTCGTCTTTTTTCTGTTCCCATTTGCTCCTGTTCTGCAACTGGCTCTATCTTAATTTTCTTATTCTCTTCTCGTATACCCTATCAGCAGACAGCTGGAGTTCTTCTCTATCTCCTCCTTTGATAAATAGGCTTACCAAGGCTTCAGTTTCTCAAATGTTGGTGACCAGAATTGTAAAAGGGCACCCATATTTTGTTGGCTGAATTGCAAATACTTTATGAATGCAACATAAGGGTGCCATATAGTTAGAGATCAAGCAGCCTAGAGCCAGCGGCACTGCAGTCCTTGTTAAAAGCTCATATTCCAGCAGAAGCATTTCTCTTCAATTGCTGAGTTGTATTTTGCATTTCCAACTTGCTTTTGCCACACACGATCTCATGTTCATCCATTTATCTCTGTGGGCCCATTTCTGTGCTGAATGGCTGATAGCGCCTCGCTGTCATCAGCAGTCATCGTTGACACATTCCTAAGTTTTGTGCCAAGCTCCCTACTGAGTTTATTAAATATTGTTTTCATTTTTGAGAATAACACAAATCATCCAGCAGTAATGTTCTCCATCCCGCTGTCATCTCCATTTTTCTGCCCCTTTTTGCTGCCTTTCCATCAGTCAGCTCTTTACCCAGCTCATATCTTTGTATGCGACTTGATAGCCTTCAATACTCCTCCAACATTAGGCTTTTCAAAAATACAGTATGCCAGGCTGCTAGTCACTGAAGACAAAAGCAAGCACAGATGAGTTTCTGGAGACAGAAATCCTGGGAAGCACCAACAGCCCTGCTCACCAGCAGCTCATTGTGGCTGTGGCAGGTTGCTCAGCTCTGCATTTCAGCCCTGTCTGCTTCCTGCTGCAGAGCTGTTGAGCTCTGGGGACCAATAGAGCCTTTCTCTGATGCTTCCATAGCTCTTTTCATGTTCAAAACACTACTGACAGTAGCACTTAGCAGCCAGAAAATCCAGCAACACCCTGTCACCATATGACACTTGTCACCTTGGACATCCTTTTTCAAGGGTTTGTTTCAAACTTTGTCCGTTTTACCTTTGCCAAGCAGTGCAGAGATGGGTGGCTTCATTTGAAGCCTTGAGAGATGCTTTACGATTTTGAAAGCCGTGGTCTTGAGATGCTGTGGATCCCACGAGAATCCAGCAGCGCTGGGAGCTGTAGGCTGACGGGGTTCCCCTCCCTGTGAGACTGTCAGAATGTCCCAGTGAATAGCTTTAATTTCCACTGAGACATGAAGAGTTAGCATGCTGACGGTTTTCTTACTGAGTCCTTGAATAGGAAGCCTGCAGTGTGTGTGGGCTCCGGAGTATGGGAAACTCATAATGGGCCTCTGAGTACATAGGGAAAAACGTTGTTTTGTTTTCCACACTCGCCTTTCTGGTGTATCAGAATGAAATGTTTAATGCAAATTGCTTCTGAGCTGGTGACTTCAGTGCAAAATCAAAGAAAAAGTTGGGGGAGGGGGGGGTTTCCTGCTGTAACTGGCAGAGCAATAGTTTGCTTCCACGTGACTTTAATGGACATTGGCTTGACTTTTAAGATTGTATCATTGACCTGCAGTGTTTAGACAGCCAAGGAACTGCCAGGGCCCTGCTGCTGCTCTCCTGATGGCCAATCACAGTCACATACTTTATTTGTTGCAATCTCAGTGATGTTTTGTCTATTGTAAATGTTTGTGTGGGGGTGGATGAGTTAGTTTTTTGCTTGGTTTTTTGTTCTTGTTGTTGTTGTTGGTTGGTATATATATAAAGGATGGAGAAAGCCATCAGAAAGATACATGATATTAGAGACTTGGGGACAGCCAATCTTCTGAAGGTAGTGACTTGTGAGTAGACTTGGATTTTTTGGAAATTGAAAAGATGGGGGGGAAAATAAGTGGTAGAGCCTGAAGATCCCACCAACGTTACATGAAAGAATGGAAGTGGCACCTGATTTAAATATATGTATTTATGTATCCTGTCCTCTTAATTTCATTTAACTAAGTTGTGGCTCAACAAAGCACAGATTGACAATGAAGAATGACTTTGAGAAACACAAACACCCAAACTGGGAAAGCCCAAAGAGCGTGGCATTAGGGACAGTCTTCTGCTGACAGAGGAGATGTTTTGCTTTGGAAGTCCAGATCTGGTCGTACTTAAGCAGACGGAGGGAGAAGCCTCGTGCCCCCAAGAAGTCTGTACAGTGTGTATTGTGTGGGCATTGATTTTTGTTGTTTCTCTTGAGCCAGATTAGTCAACAGTCATCCTCTGTTGAGCTCTTCAAAACCTTGTGCTTTTTCTTCTGCTTTGACTTTTTCAGTGCATAAGGTTTAGCATGGGCTCAATTATAGACTTTACAACACTGTCTTATCTGCTTTAGTTGTTCTGAATTATTTTCTTCCCATTTAATCCTTTCCAGAATCTTGCTACAAAAATCACTTTGACCTTGCTCTTTGAGATTAAGTACCACCATTTTTATTGCTTTCTTTTTTAAGATAGCCCTGATCCGTTGTGAGCCTGCTGTGTGCTTCTGTCTTGCAAATATTAATTTGACCAATTTCCTCTTTTGCTGTGCTATTATGATTCTGTGGGCCTCATGCTGCATGGATGCTGGGGAGAATGGATATTATCAGGTATAAGGAGGCTAGTGCCATAATATCCTGCTGAAGTACAGTCATTAAGTACAACGAAATACCTTTCATTTCTTTTCTCAGAAACGTTCCCTGTAGTTACAGCAGATAGGTGACCAGGAGTGACCTGTGAGCAGTGAGCAGCGTGACTATTTGCATTTAAATAGTGTTTCTTTGGTTTATTATTTTTATGACACTGTTTTCCAGTAACAGCAGACAAACACATCTTTTGTTTTGCTTATAATTTAGAGTTGGTCTATCTCGTTTCTCTGTAGTGGTTCGCTTTTTTCTCCTTTTCTTTTTCCTCCTCTCTGTCTTGCATCTCTTGAAGGGATTACTGTTCAGTGAGCAGAGCAGAGGCCAGGGCAGTGCAATGTGGGCAGCTGAGGACACTGGGCTGATTGCCCATGCACAAAGGGAATGGAAGCAGGGTGCTGAATGGGGCCCTGCTGCTGTGGAGCACGCTGGAAAGCAGCAGTAGAAGTCTTTGCCCTAAAAAACAGTTGTGATTTGCACTCCTGGGATGCAACGTTTTTGTAATTCTGCTGTGGTTTCTGCTTGCAGCAGGCTTCCTGCCCTCCTGGTTATCTCACTGCTCTTGTATCTTAGAATCATTCAGGCTAGAAAAGATCTCTAGTCCAAACTGCCAACCCGTCCCCACCGTGCCCACTAACCCTGTTCTCAGTGCCACATCTTGAACACCTCCAGGAATGGTGACTTCACTGCTTCCCATAGCTTGGGAACAGTGCCTCTGTTGCATCCTAGGTAGGAAGGAGTTCACTTTCAGTCTCTGAGCTAATGATATTTTGGAACTGAGCAGTGTCTTGTTTTATCCTACACCAAGGAGAGTATCAGATGCAGTATTTGAGAGGTTTGTGTGTTATTACAGGATTGGAAATAGAAGTTGTCTTGCAGTTAGCTCAGCAGTTTAAGGACGTGACACAGCTTTAGTTTTGAAATGCAAAAAAGTCACTGATGATGCTCAGGATTTTTTCCCTAAGGAAATGTCTTCAGCGTAGGGCATCTTTCAAAATGATTTCAAATATTTCCAACATGAGGGGGAGGAGGATGAACTGGCATAGTGCTATGAGCACTTGGCTTAAACACAGGTATCAGAAAAAAATGAGAGGATTCCCCCACAAATCAGGTTGGAACTCCAGTCCTTCCCAGTGGATTTCAGATGTGTGTTACAGAAATGCACAAATTCTAACACAACTCAGGGACCTTCCATGAGCATGGTGCTGCCCGTGAGTATTTAGAAGTCAGCAGAATCCTGAAGATCTTCACAACATTTTGGTTGCTAGGACCACATTCCATACTGCCTGCTTTCTAGATAACGGTCTCACGTGCGGGAAGGCTGTTGTCTGAAGGGACTCTTGGGCAGTTCTTCAGCCTTAAGGCAGTGGTTGCTGAGGGAAGCCTGGAAGAAGAGCAAAACCTGGGGTGGAATTCAGGCAGGCAGTTGTGCTTCTTGTAACTTGCACTAGTGTAACCATCAGCAGTATCCTACTCTCCAGAACATCCCTGAGATATCAGTAGTTCACTAAGCTGCTCCTTCTCTTTGTCATCATTGAAAGAATAGAATCAGTAAGGTTAGAAGAGGCAACTAAGATCATCTGGTTCAAACTATCAACCCATGCCACTAACCGTGCCCCTCAGTGCCACATCCACGCATTTCCTGAATATCTCCAGGGACAGTGGAGGTATTCATTACTTCCCTGGGCAACCCATTCCAGTGCTTTACTACTCCTTCTTAGAAGACATTTTTCCAAACATCAAACCTGAATCTCTCTTGGTGCAACTTAAGGCCATTAACTCTCCTATCACTATTCTATTAATCCTATCACTAGTTACCAAATAATTTGGTTCATTTTCTTTGTTTCAGAGCTGGAAAAGGAGATCAGTAGGAGATCGAAGAAAGTCTGCATTATCAAAGTGGTGGGAACCAGGAACCTGTGGAAAAACATTGTGGTATTGTGTGTGAACTCGTAAGTCTCGTATTGTGTTTCTGTTTGAGTATTTTATAGTTGGTGAACTGAAAGCAACAATGGGAAATGATAGGGGCTCTCTAGTGAGGGAATTTTAGCTTGAACTTCTGGTAAAAACCATGGAGAAGTACCAGCTGTTACAGGGAAACTGTTTTATGTGGTAAAGTGGAGGAAATGGTCATTTCAGACAGCAGCACCAATTGTCATGCTGCAAGTGCACTGCCATCAGAACTGCTCTGGCAGATCTCAGACAGCCACATGCTTACTCTTGCAAACATCTGCTGCTGACATCCTGGAGGGGATTTTTGAAATCATTAATACCACAGGAGCACAAGCCTGAGTCGTTTACAGCTGATATAGCTGCGTCGCAGAGGAAGATGTTGCTTACCAGCAAACTCCCTTGTACAACAGTGCCCTTGATGTGGCCTCAAAAAGAAACTGTAAAGTTGTTTCAAATCTCTCTGATCAAGAATAGAGCAATGCAATCCCTGTGTCCTGAAGCTTCAGCTAGTATGTGCTTATGTGTGCAAAGTGAGGCCTCTGCCTGAGAATTTTGCTGGTTACAGTCTCTGAGACCTGTCCAAAATTGAGCACTCTGTTTAAAGCAAATGGATAGGCTGTAGATTTAGCCTCTAATGAAATCCAGCTCATAGAAAGGATATTTTCTAATTTTTCTAGAATGCCCATTTGAATTTGGTTCTGAGATTTTTTCAGTGGGAAGTGGGAGCAGACTGGACATCTGCACATCCTCTGTTCTCCTTAGGAAGTCTGCAGTGCTCTTGTGGCTTTTTCTTCCCCAGTTCGTGGCCCGACTCTGCAGCCATTGTCCCTGCTAACAGGGGCATGAACCAGTCTTAACACAGAGAAGACAGCTGCTGAAAGGCATGCAGTTTCTGCATTGGTTGTGGAACCAACTCTCTTTTTAGGGCTTTACATTCCTCTTTGCCATCTATCAGTATTTGGCCTGGTTCTGAAGCAGTGTTTTGTTCTTAGGCTAAGCAAGCATATTGAATAACCAGAGTTAGCTGTTGTATACTCAGTGAATATACAGATGTTATAATTGTGAAATACGAGAGAGTTTAGCTAAGCAGGTTATTACACCAAAGAAAGAATAGATAGAGTGCTTACCCCTATGCTAGACTCACTGTAAAACTCCGAAGGAGGGATCTCCAGGGAAGAGATCCTTCCCCACTGGTACTCAGCTCTTAAATGGGATCTAGGAGAAGTGCAGCCAGGCTCCACCGCTTCCAGCAGCACAGGAGAATTGCCTTCACCTGTGCTCTCAGGGCTGACTCATTGCTCACCTTGGGTGATCAATCACAGGTTCAGGCTGTGATTCAGCAGTTCCCATACAGCTGTATGTGGAAATATGAGGGAATTCTCCCTTTCACCCACACCATTTCTAGTGACATGTATTTGGAGATTCCCTAACCCAGAACTAGGGAGCCCACAGAGTGACCTAGAGCAATATGGAGTATTGAGTATGGAGGCTGTTTGCCATCCGTATGGAGTGTGCAGCTGATGTGTGTTTAAGGAAATTGCTTTCATGTTTGTCTTTACGAGGTGGGAAAAAATAAATCTAAGTTCTGTTGATTCTGTTGCATGGGGCTGTACTAAGTTTTAGCAGTGTGGATGAGGCATGGAGGATGAACCTTTCTCAGGGAGTAGTGAGTTATCAAGGCAGATAAATGTCTTCAGTTTCAGCAAGATAACTGAGCAATTCGTGGGGAAGCAGACTGGGTAGCAAAGCACAGATGATAAGGTAATCTAGTTTATTGGTTATGGCCTAAATATCAACCTTAGCAAGCGTGTGTGCATGTAAGCAGGAGAAAGGGAGAAGATAGAAGCTGATTAATGCTGCTCCATTATTAAAAAATGGAGGAGGAGATGGTTGGACTAGATGATCTTATTGGTCGTTTCCAACCTTGTGATTCTGTGATGCTATGATTCTATGATTTTTCTAGTTAATATTTCACTTAGAAGGAGGTGTTGTCTAGATACCCAAAGCAGGTGACATTCCTCTATAATGGCAGGTAACTGCCTAGCTGCTTGTTGTTGGGGGGAGGAGTGCAGTGCTGGAGGAAGTATTCTTGAACTCTGGTGTTGATTCACAAGGTAGCAAGAAAAATTCCCTAGGCTCCGAGTAGTCACGCGCTCAGCAATTGTGTATTCCCCAGCTGTTTCTATGCTTAAATACCCAGTTTACACTGACAATGCTTCAAGTTGCTGACACTCAGGAGGGTAGAGGTGTATCAGTATAATGTACCTGCCATTCATTTTTGGAGACCTGCCTCTGCAGCTGTGAGGCACCATCAATTTGACATGAGCGTGCAGCAGGTCTGTCAGGTGTAGGTGCTGGGGCAGGAGGCCCTTCCCTGCAGGAGTACTGCTGCTGCCCTGGGGTTGTTGAGTTGAGAGCATCAACCTCCTGCCAAAGCCGTGCTGGTGCAGTGCAGCATGGCACCACACGCTGTGACGTGTGGGCTTCTCACAGTGATTTCTCTGCCTCCAGCCTCCCTGCTCTCCCTGCCTTGTCTTCTTTATTTTTTCTTTCTTGCATTGAGAGGAAAGGACAGGGAGAAGAGGAATATAACAGTGCAACGAGATGTGGAAGACTGGCATCATGAAGAACCTTCTAAAAGGAGAGGGATTGCTCTAATGTGATACACGTGTGTAGGCTGAACTAGGGGTTATTATTTCATCATAATCATTGAAGAACAATGTGTGGCTTTGAATGCTTATTTCTAAGGGGTTTTCAGTTGTAACAGGCTAATGTGGGGGGTGAGATGCCATCTGTAGTATGATGCAGTGCCGTGGGCAGGAGGGTCTTTCTGGAAGAGGTTTTTGTATTGTGCGTGTTTTGCTGCCCAAGCACATGGGTTGCTCTGTCACAGCAGCGCTGGTTGAGTGGGGTCAGCAGTTGGATATGTTGGAAATAGTTTGAGGAGGGGTTCCAAAATGTGTTGGGAAAACCAATCACACAATCTTAGAGTCACAGAATATCCCAAGTTGGAAGAGACCATAAGGATCATTGAGTTGGTACTAAGAGTCCTTACAAAGTTTATCATATCCTGATCTTGACCAAAAACTTTGCAAATAAAGGCAGTAGATTGCAAATCTCTGCTTGAATAAGGATTTTTTTTAATGATTTTTAGTGATGTCTTATTTTAATGATAGCACCTGGAAAGCTAACTAGAAATGGGTCTTTTTGCAGTCGGCGTTGTGTTCTCGCAGCAGAAATGCTTCCCATGTGAATATATTCCTGTGCTGAGTTACATTGCAGTACGTGGTCCTGATCTCTGGCTGTCCTTTCCCTAGGCTGACTGGCTACGGCATTCACCACTGTTTTGCAAAAAGCATGATGGGGCACGAAGCAAAGATGACGATTACCCAGAACTTCTATGCAGACTACTATACCATGGCTGGGATTGCGCTGGCATCCTGCCTGGCCATGTGCCCCGTGGTTGGGTTCCTGGGGAGGAGAGGAGGGCTCCTGCTCTTCATGATCCTTACAGCTCTGGCATCGCTTCTTCAGCTGGGCCTTCTGAACTGTGAGTTGGAGATGCGCTTCTCAGGACCGCGGGAGGCTGAGTGTGGCACGTAGGGGTAAAAAGGTCACAGCAGTTGATGGTGGAAAGTCTGACAGCCAAGTAGCTGTGTGGGAACGTGGCTGATTGCTATGCCGTGTGATCTGCTGACGATGATAGCAGAAGTGTCACTTACAGTATATTTTGGCTCCCTTTTATCAGTTAAAGTAGAACATCATTAGGTGCTCATAGGAGTCTCCTTTTTGATGTTTCCTTGCACTGGGCAGGTACAGAGGTTTTCACTCTGCCGGAGTTAACAGTTCACTCTCAAATGTTGGATGAAGGTTCTCCATGTTGTTTTTTTTTTTTAATGGGAGGGGAGAATTGATTTTAGCATGTTCATAGAGTTGATGGAAAATGTTACGCAGTTTAGGTCGATTCCCCCCCACCTCCAAGGATCTTTGGATAAAGGACCAGGGAATGGTTCCATTACCTTTCTCAGATTTGAGGTGCAGTACACCTGCTATCTTCAGCAGCTGAATTTATCTAAGGATTCTCCAAACAATTGTTGCCTTAGATTCATTAAGAAGAGGAATTGTGTTCTGGATGAGTCCCAGTGGTGAAGCTCATTGAGTGTTGGTGCTGCTTCTAGTTCTGTCACGTAAAGACAAGCAAACAAAAACGTATTTATTTCAGTGAAATGTGCTTTGGGAAAAGAGCTGTGTAAGGGCTTGGGATGGAAGGGACCTTCCCACTTGTGTCTTCTTTCTACATGGCCTCTAAAAGAAGCAGAAGTTAAAGCAATAGGTGTATGTCTTCAGGCTAATCTGGCCATCTTGCTACTTCCAAGTAATGTGAGGGTAGCAGTGAAACACAGCTGAGGAGCCCTACTTCTGCTGTGGCATGTGTGCAAGATCTACGTGTATATGTAGGTATGATTTAGGAGGTGATGCAGCTTGTCAGAGCGATTGTTCCTTTCAAAAGCAAGAGTCTCTCCCCCTCCTCTGGGTGCTATTGGGAGACCGAGACGTGCCTCTGGACAAACTGGAATTGTGACAAACACGAGAACACTGGTTGTGGCTGTTTTCCACTTCTAAGTTTAGAAATGACTTCAGAGCTTTAATGAGAGGGTTTTTGCATTGAGGATGGAAAGATTTTTACATTCCCGCATGTTGAGGGGGAGCCCTTGGCCAGCAAGTGTTGCCCATATTTATAGACTGTGTTTCCTGAAAGCGTTGACCAAGTCAACCTTTCATGAACACACTATTTGTGGAAGTGGGAAGGGGTAACAGTGAATATCTTTCAGGACATTGAGGAGGCTCCAGTGTTGCTCTCCACTTAGTACAGATGTTCACATTTCCTTTGAGCTCACTTACTGTGCCCAAAAGCATCAGCTGAAAGGGGAGAAGCTCTGTGCCTCATCTCATGTTCTGAAGTACTGTGACATGCAGATGCACAGTGTGTGTGTGTGTGTGTGTGTGTGTGTGTGTGTGTGTGTGTGTGTGTGTGTGTGTGTGTGTGTTCTCCCAAAACTCCAGGTTCTTGTGATGGTGTCCAGCAGGGTCTCTACAATACATTCGTCTTTATTTCTAAGGGCATCATATATTTGTGGAGGCTGCCAAGGTAATAAACGTAATTGCTTTGTAGAGAGAAGGTACACTGGAGCCATTACAATCTGGTTTCAGTTTTTCAGCAACAACAAGGGCTGATGGTGGGGAACCATCCTGTAAGAATTGCGAGAACCTTTTCCATGATGGGTCTGTGTGGTTTTGTGGGCACAGCGGCCCAGAGAAGCTGTGGTGCCCCATCCCTGGAGGCTCAAGCCCAGGTTGGATGGGGCCCTGGCAGCCTGAGCTGGTGGGGGGCAGCCCTGCCCACAGCAGAGGGTTGGAGCTGAGTGGGCCCGTCCAACCCACACCATTCTGTGACACCAAGTTGCTAAACTCTAAAAACAGCCACAGACCCTAGGTGTTTTCTGCTGTGCTGACACGTGGACTTCAGTAGATGCCCTGTTCCTGTAGACTGTCCCTTCTTTCCTTCCCCTATTTCTTTGTGAAAAGAGGAGTGAAAGGCAGCCTTGAGCTTTGGAGCAGCTTGTCTTTTCCTGCTCTAGACCATACCCCACTTCTTCCCCAAAACTTCTGGACAGCATTTGGAGAGAAGCAGAGAGAACCCTACCAAATATAATATCTGTTACAGCTTTATGTTTCAGCTTAGCATAATTTGGGTGTAATTAGCAAATGAAATGGGAATTGCAGAAGTGGGGAGAGGGAGTGTATCCATCAGCAGCAGGCATTGAGGCTCATCCTGCTTAGTCCTTGCTCCAGACCCTACGTTGCCCCTTGCATTGCTGCCAAGGGAGGAGGTTGCTCACCACACAGTGATGCTGACACTGAGAGCTTTGCTTTCCAAGCAGAGCCTGCATTGGCCATCTGCTTGGGGCTGCAGGATAGGGACAGTTTCTCTTCTCCTTCTTTGTTAACAAGAAAGAGGCCTTTGTGTTAGCTCAGCAGTAATTCTGGTTCTCTTCAAAATGCTTTGCCTCTGTTATTGTCACCATTTCATTAGCATTTATTTGGCTGTAGCTGGCACGTCGCATCAGGGGGCTGTGGGACAGGAGGAGTGCGTGGGGCTGAGGGAGGCATGCGGGGCTTGCCTTGTCTTTTTTACTCTGGATGAGTTGCATGAGTAACAACAGTACATTCTTGTTTTCTCTCCCTCTCGTATTTTTATCATATTGTAACTTCGTGATGTTGGATGCAGTGATTGGAAAATACAGTCAACTTCCAGACTCAGGTACGGTTTACATACATGTCTGCAATGTGCAGGAAGCACAGAGCCCTGGTGTGCAAAGCACTGCGCTCACACCCCTGTCTGCCAGCAGGATTTGTCTTCTCCTACAGACTTGGTGTGCATGGCAGAAAGGGCTTAGCCCTCAGCAGGCTGTGGGAATCATTCAGTACACTGCAGAAGTTGTGACCTAAGGACTTACATACTTTTTGCTCTCCCAAGAGCTGATATTTTCAGCAAGAACGTAAGTGGGTGGTCATCCATTGGATCCAACACAGTGAGGTCACGCTGAGTTGGAACAGTCTGCAGACCCATCACTCGCAGGGCATTGGCAGGTGTAATGGAAGTGGGAGCACTTCTGTTTTCCTCCCCTGCTGTCCCACGAGCCTCTCCAGCACCCAGGGCTTTGAGCTGTAGGTGCTGCAACCTGATGAACACCGCCTGCATCTGCCTGTCTGTCAGATTTGGGAGGGCAGTGTCTGGTGCCTAAAAGGCTGCCCAAATAGGTGGGGCTTTTTTTTGGTCTTCAGCTTTTTTGTGGTGGCTGAGCACAAACAATGTAGAGATCACTGCCATTTTTGGCATGACATTACGATGTTTTTTCATCCGTGTTTATGTCTTGGATGCTTGGGAAAGGATTTTATAAATACCTGTTTTAAATTAGCTTTACAGAAATGACTCAAATCCTTATTTAGGGAGAATGAGTAACGTAGACCTGTTTTCTTGTTTTCCTACTTGGAGATTTGTCCTCATTCTCTCTTTTCATGCACATCCTTGTCTTGACAGGTATGAGTGACAGTGTCAAAGACAAGTTCTCCACCGCGTTTTCCATTGTGGGGATGTTTTCTTCGCATGCCGTTGGAAGTCTCAGCGTATTCTTCTGTGCTGAAATCACACCCACAGTAATAAGGTGAGAGACCAGGGCCCCTCACCTTAATGGGCAGGGAAGAAATTAAACTCATTTTCTTGATAACTGGCTGTGTAAGTTAACGTATAGTACGGGCTGGGGGGGAAGTCTCCCATGATTGGAGACCACACAGTAATTTCCGAGCCGCTGTTTAATCGCTGCAGTCTGTCTGTCTAAGTAAATGCCTGTCTGAGGACAGAGTGGCTTTGTTTCAGATGGCTCCACCTCATACCCCATCGTGGTGATTTTCAGCAGGCTAGTCATCACATGAACTGCATTTGTTCACAGCACGGTATGGTCTAAATTACTTAGCTGAAGCAGATTCTGTAGTTTCGCACCATTTTGTTACTCTGCTTACCCTGCTGGATTTGTGCAAGTGAGTAACTGTGTGAGCCCGCAGCTGGGTATAAGATAGATTTACACAGGTGTGCAGAGAAGGACAGCTGCAATCAGTTCCCTGCTTCCATAGGGTGAGTTAATCCTGCTATAGGAGTGGTTCAGTGGAGAGGAGATGCTGCAGTATGCAGTGTTCAGTGCTGCAGGAGTACACAGGTGCTCTGAGGATCTGCAGCCTCGCCTACAGTACCACTCTGTTTTGCCTTTACTGCAGAATCATACTCTACTTCTTTGCCATTTTTCTCTTTGCCCGGAGGTCTACCTTAGCCAAGGCTCAGTGTTTCTCTGAAGGAGAGTGCTGTCATGCTGGGCGGTAGTAGAACTCAGGCAGGTGATCTCTGGAGAGCCTTGTGTCAATTGTCTGTATCTGTGGCTCATGTACCATTTTATTTATTCAGCGTTATCTTTCCCGGCACGAAGTTTGTGCTTGTGTGTTCTGGGTAATGCTTTCAGCAGTGCCACGGCGATTCAGGAGGCCGCTCTGATTCCCATTGAATTTTGTAGGAATGTAGGTCATACGAATGGGAGGGAGAGGGAAGCGGGGAGGAGGAGGTTCTGAGCTTCCCTCTTCCCCTCCAATTACTCGTTTTTCAATAACTTTGTAAAAGCATTATAACAGAACTGTCAGATTTACCAGTCCCTTCAGTCCACAGCCTGCTCTTCTAAGCTCTGTGACTTTGTGAATGTATTTTACAGATAATATTATTCCCACAGGGAAGGGCAGTGTGAGAGGAGATTGCACAGCGGCCCAAAACACTAGCAGCTATATATTTATGTGCCTGTCAGTTGTTTGGTCTCTTTATGCCTCTTTAATTTCTCCTCATCTCTGTTTGAAAGGCATGCAGATAAGGAATTGGCCGAGTCCTTTAGAACGGAATCTGCCAAGTGGGATCAGATATGCAGTGTGAACCTAGCAACCTTTTCCTTGAATTGCTCATGTTGTAACAGAGAGGGGGACAAATTCCTGTCTGGGAACCAAAGTTCTGCTTCCCCTGGCTCTGCTGGGTGACACCAGGCAAGTGACAATAGCTGGATGTACCTCAGGGTCCCTGTTTATAAATAGGGATGATGATACTCTGCAGCTCTTTGCAGTCCTACCATTGCAAACCTGTTGCTGACATCTGGTTGGGGCTGTAATTATGCTGTGGCTCTCAGGGCAGTCTGTAAACATGTCTTGGGTGGAAGTAGAGTTAAGCCGTGTCTTGCACTGTGGTGGGCTCTGGCCTCATTGCCTCTTTTCCAGAATACCACTGGTATTCTGATGTCCCTTAGTGTTTCAGAGCATCATACTGTGCATTTTATTGAATCTTGAGGAGCCCTGTGGAAAAGAGAAGTAGTGAGAGGCTGGGGCTGTCTCTGAGGTTTCTCTGGTCAAAGGGTTTATTTATAACAGGGACTTCCAGCTACTGATTCTGAGCATCAGATAACACTGGTAGTCCATTTCCAGTAATCCTGATGAGATTACCACCATGGATTTCACAGCTCCTCAGCATGAATGGGCTGAGGAAAGTGTGGTGTCGTCTCCCTGTCCTCTGTGTCACCAACGAGTGGAGAAGAGGCCTGGACCAGGAGTTCTCTTGGTGTCCTGCTTTTGCCTCCACCCCAGGCACAGAAATGAAGCATGGGCAGTGATGGCTGTGTTAGGAGCTTTATCCGGCAACAGATGTCTAAAGCTGAGTTTCCACCAGGGTATGGTGCTGTTTACTTGGATCTGGACCCCAGGCTGGTCTTTTCAAAGGTGTCTAAACTCCAGCCTGAAGCTGAGCGTCCAGTAGGCTGTTCATGTAAGAAGAAGGCTGGGAAAAGCTACAGGAGTGTTCAGGGGCTGACTTTAGAAGCAGCTGAGCAAACAGGATGAAGTCCTAATAAGCAGTTGGTTCTGAGGACAGACGGCCCACTCAAAATAGGATGATGGTGCTCTGTGCAAAGCTGAGAAGGGTGAGTCCTTCCACTTAGGCTCAGCCAGGCTCAGGCCAAGAGCGCAGGGAAGGATGTTGTGCTGCATTCCGATGGATGCTGCCTGCACAGGGCAGCCGTTTGGTACACAGGCCCTGTCAGGACAGAGCAGGGCTGCCAGGCCGCCTGCTAACTGCTGTGCAGCAGCATGAGCTCTGTCTGCCCCCTAGTGGTGGCACTGCTTCCCTGTTCTCAGAGCGTGCTGCTTTCTTTTTTTTTTTTCCTTCCCATTTTCATATTAGCAATACAGTCAGACATGAAAAAACCAAGCACTCACCAACATCTATTTTCAGTCGTTCTCCTGCCAGTTTCTGAGGGCAGGGTAAAGTAATGCTTGTTCTAATTACTGCCGTGATGTGGAAAAACTGTATTTTTTTTCCCCCTTCTAAACGTGAAGCTGCTTGCCTTGTAGTGACAGAGCTGCCTTTGTTGCCTTTTCCCGCTTCCTTTCAGCCTCTCCGATGTCCTTCTGCAGCTGCTTTGAAGGATCACCTCAGGTCCCCTTGCTCACTGAGATGCAGTGTAGCTGTAGCAAGTGCTGATGTGAGCGAGCCAACTTGGAGAGCAGCTCACCATGTGTTCAGGAGGGAAGTTGTGCAGAGCTCCCATGTGAGCCTGTTAATGAAGCTGCAGGAAGGCTGCTTGCACAAGGGGCGCATTCAGCGAGGTTTCTAAATTGCCATTGGAAAGCTGGCAAGGTTTTAATTAGGGCTTTTGCAGTATTTGGGGAAAATTCACTCTTGTCTATGAAAAGAGCTTCACCAAGTCTGGAGAAATAGAAGGTACATACAGGAATTTTTGTCCTAAGGAGCGTTTTTTGAAACCCGCACATCTCTGCCACCGGGCCTGACCTCCCTGTGCAGGAGAGGGCGCCTTGGGAAGGGCGTGCTGCAGCTCTGTGGGATGCAGCTAAGGGGACAGCTGTGGGTGACAGCCCAGAGGTCTCAGTGTTCCTGCCACAGAAACAGGTCTGCACGTGTCTGCGGTGTCATCAGGCGGGATGGGGCAGCTCTGACCACGTGGCTGGGTGTGCACAGGGCTTGGAGAGGCTTCAGGGAAGGTAAGGTGTTGCTAGAGGGGCTGCTTGCATAACCCAGAGTTGAAATGGCACAGAATGCAGCCAGTGCAAACATTTCCATTCTTGTGATGGGGTGATGGAAGAGGCTGGTTTCACACTTCAGGGTTCTTTTTGAGCTTTAACACCTTTTCCCTCTTTTTTGGTGCTTGCGTGTATGAGCTAGTACTCCGGCACGTTGCTTTAATAAATAAGCATTTGTGCCATAAAGAATATCCTGTGAGGTTCCGTATTTATAATTTAAGCATTTAGCTGTATTCACCTTTTTGTCACTCCTTGATGCACAGCACGTGAATACACAAGGAAAGCAAGAGTGAGGTGAGGCACCTGCCTCATGGCGAGTCAGGAAGAGGTCTCAGAAATGAATCCCTGAACTCTTGACTTATTCTCCTATTTCAACCACTTGCAGTGTTATCTTTTTTTTCCTGAAAATGATTCATGTTGGTACAACACCAGTGCACGTAGAGGTTCCAGCCCCAACACATTTTATAGGAAAAATATTTCAGCACTCAGTGCTTGGTACAACAGAATGAGGCAATGGTCTGTGAAGCCTCATCTCCTGCCTCCGCTGGCCATTGCTGCCAGATCCTTTGGGGACAGCCAAAACAGGCTTCTGTGCCTACCACTTCTTGCGTGTTTTGTCTAAGCAGGATGCTAAGCAAAATCTGGTTTGTCCTTATTAAATACGAGAGCACTTGGAATGTTTTAGAGGGCTGGCCCCTTACTTGCACAATACAGCTGCTCTTCTGCTTATGTAGGTGCAGTTATGTGGGTGTGAAAAGATACTTGGGTAAGTATGATTATTCCCCCCCCCTCATAGCAGCAGATAGGCAGTAATTATCTACAACAGCAAAGCAACACAGCTTTATTTTGTTTTATTTTTGCACAGCACAAAAGCTGTGAGCAAACAGCCCTGCCTCAGAGATTTCAGAGTCCGTGTGCCCAAGTTGCTTGCCCAGTAAGACAGCCTGGGGCCAAGGGTCGTTGAAGTGCTTTTCCAGCACAGACGTGTGGGGCTGTGCTCTCACCTCTGCTGTGTTCACAGGGGCGGAGGGCTGGGGCTGGTCCTGGCCAGTGCGGGTTTTGGCCGCCTGACCGCCCCCATCATGGAGCTGCACAACCAGAAAGGCTACTTCCTGCACCACGTCATCTTTGCCTGCTGTACGCTCATCTGCATCATCTGCATCCTGCTGCTGCCGGAGAGCAAGAATCAGAACCTGCCTGAGAACATCCCAGATGGGGAGCACTACACCAGGCAGCCCCTCCTGCCTCACAAGAAGGGCGAGCAGCCCCTGCTCCTGACAAACTCTGAACTCAAGGACTACTCGGGCCTTCACGACTCAGCAACTGTGAGCGATGGCATCTCTGAGAACACCACTGCCAACGGGATGAAGTCTATGTAACTGGGTGGATTTTCTCTTTTTTTGTTTGTTTGTTTCTTTGGTGTTTGTTTTGTCTTGGTTTTTTTTTTTCCCCCCTTCTCCCATTCCTTTTGTATTTTATTTGATGCCGTTGTGCAGGAGGAACAGCACTTTGGGCAAAGGTGTTTTGCACAGGTTTTACGAACCAGTGATGGAGCAGATGCAGACTTGGGGGAATTCAACTCTGTTGCTGAAACAACTTGTAGGAATCAACTGTTGTGCAGATCGCTCTTGAAAAAATTATGGGGGAAAATACTCATCTGAGAAAAGACCTGGCTGGAGGTAGCCCTTCAGAACTCTTTTTTCCTGCCATTAAATATGTATATTTATTTTGATTTATTCTCAAGAAGCACTTTATTTCCTTTTCCTTTCATAGATCACAAAAATGAAGCCATCTTATTATAAGAGGTGCAGCCATTCCAAGAAAGAAACCATGGGGGGGGAGGGGTTGTTTTTTGTTTTGTTTTTGTGTTCCTTTAAAGGAAGGAGGTATCACTGCAAAGTTGAATCGACTGAAACTTTGACTTGTGCGACATTCTTCTGCCTGTGTAGAAAGGCAAAGTGCCCAGGTTGCCTGCTGTGTTTGTATACACCAAAAAAAAAAAAAAAAGAAGAAACAAAGCAAAACCTGTTGTGACTCAAATTCTGACTGCATTTTAGGCAGCTTGTAGGTTTTTTTTTATAGCCCATGTACATTTAAAAGTTACTTTCTAAATTAGTACGGGTTAGTTTTTTTTCCACCAAATGCATTGAAGAAAATCCTACCCAAACAGGCTGATTTTTCAGTAAGAATCAGCTTTACACATTTTAAGTCTGTTAGCCTATTTTAGACTGTTCCTGCTGGTGTTTAATACTAACGCAGATGTAAATGATTTGACCAATGATGCAAAAATTAGTTTTGCCAAGAATGGCTTTAATTACTGGGAGGTCCTGAATCTACAACTGACTGCTCCAGAAGAGCATAGACCAGCAGTAACAAAAAGCAAGGAGTGTTGGCTACAGTCTGTACTTTTATTTCCCAAGGCAGTGTGGCTGCGATTGCCGCTCCTGGGAAATGAGCGTTCTGGCATTGCCCTGCCTGTGTTTAGAACCAGAGGTTTTGTTACCAATTTAAGGGGACAGAGTGTTTAAGTGACTATCAAAAAGGAAAGAATGGATAGCCTGTGAATGATTTAATGTCTGTTGGCCATCTTGGGAGTTCTTGAAATGTTTAGTGGTTCTGATCCATGAATACATTGTGAGCCCACCTGTACTTCCCCCCTTTCCCAACTGCTTTTGTAGGATTTTCTTCCAGGAAAAAAAGAAAAAAAAAAAAGAAAAATAAGAATTGGGTCAATCCCACTCTGCTACACTAAAGAAAGTGAACATCCAAATTGTCACGTACTGTATGGATAGCACGTCCATCACGGCCACTTGACGTCCTTCCTCCGGACTCCAAACCAACTCCTTGCATTGGCCATCGGCTTTTGATTCTCGCTGTGTGATGACTGTGAGGATCCAGTTCAATGCAAAGACACTGTAAACAAACAGCTTTCTTGCATTGTCATTAACCTCTCTCCTCCCTCTTTTCCACTCAGGCCATCCATTTGTGATTGCGCAGTAGTGCAGACGTTTGAACAAACAGAGCAGCAGGATGTTGATGTTGTATTGCGTGTCCATATGATTGCCACTTTGTTTGATGTACATCTTGCGTTTGCAAGCACGGAAAGCATTTGTTTGCGCTTTCCTCCTCTACCTGCCCTCCCCCTTCCTCCTTTGCTGTATATATATTGTCTACTAACTACTGAACCTAACAATTTCCATCCCCCACTAGGCTGCTGATGTCCTCTTCCAGTCCCCAGTAAATCAGAGAGGTGCTGCCACAGCAGGCACTGAGGTGCACAGCACAGCTCAGATAACTGCCGAGCAGGAGGACAGGTAGACCTGCAGAAGCGACAATTTGTCGTGTTCAGAATAGCAATGTTGTCCTAAAGCTACTAATTTTTGTACAGAGGATGTGGACATTTGGGTTCTTCCTGAGCCCGGTACAAAACACTGGACCAATTGATGCTGATTTTGCCCAAAATTACACTACTGTTTTTTCATCTTTGCTGGACTTGCTGTGACGGCAAGAGCCTGATCTTCCTTACACCAAAGTTTTATTGCCCAGCTTGAGAGTGGCCGTTTCCCTCTTTCTGTTCTGTGCTGACTTCCACGATCTGTGCTCACCTAAGGAAAACCCAAGGCCTTTCAAGTCCGCACAGTATCCACGTGCCAAATTTGTGCAATACCTCTCACCTTCAGCATAAGAATTCTGTGGCAAGCCACACGCACTGGGGGGAAGAAGTGGGTTCACAAGGGAAATTGAGGAGGCAGAACAAGTTTGAAGGGAATAGCAAAGGTCTCTGTGTGTGCACTCAAGCTGCGGTACGGCTCTTGGAGCCCCTTCCCACAGCTGGCTGCTTCCAGCACTGTCAGCGGTCCCGGTGTGCTCACCGCTGGTGTCCACAGCGCTTTATCGTTTCCTATCGTGGTGTTTGCTCTCTGAGGACAGGCAGGCCCAGGGAAGAGAATGCTCGTTTAAACATATCAACGTTTATGTAATGAACACAAGGTGACAGGAATATTTGGCGCTTTTTGTTGTTAGTTCTTTAAAAAGTGATGTGAATTACTGCAGGCTTTTTTTGTTTGCCTGTAAACAGATACTCGGTACTGATCTAAAACGTGGGGAGTCCCAGCTTCTCAGGCCAGTTTGGCCCTCCGCCTCCATCACGATAATAGAACACAAGATCGGTAGCTCATTTTGCACCTTCTCCTGAAAGGATGAACAGTTCTGTGTGCTTTCTTCTGTTTTTGTTTCCTTCTCCCCACACTCGTGTAGCTGGAAGGCTTTTCTTAAGCTTCTGGTGTGGGAGAGCTCGGCGGAGCAGTGGCGTGCCACAGGCAGGCACTCGGTGCCTCATCGCTCAGCTGTGGGCTCCTCCTCCTGCTCCTCTGCAGCCACGGCCAGGAGCTGCTCTTCTGCAACAGCTGTTTCTGGCCACCACAGTGCAGGAAGCGCTCCGAGTTGTCCTGTCCACGTCAGCCCTTTTCTGCGAGCCTTTGGTAACCCCTAAGCCCATCCATGGATTTTTTTCTTCTGGCTTACCATTCAAGGGCTTTCTTCCTTCTTTCCCGTTTTAAAGAAAAACGTGAAAGTGGCATTATGCTTCATCTTTGTTGTCTTTCCTTTTAAGGTTTCCGTAATGCTTGTGTCTGACACAAGCAGTGCCTGACACATTGCAGACAGATACAGCATGGAGAAAGCTGTCATCTGTTTGGAGGTGTTTTCTGGCACCTGTGAGCGGGTTCTGTCTGATTTACCTTGCAATTTCGGTGAGCACGCTTGTTGTATGGTTGTTGGTTTTGTTTTGTTTTGCTTTAATGGAAGTATTTTGCTTAACTGTTGCCACTTCCTGGAGCCAAACACTAAAGGTCACCAAATTGGAAGCAGAAGTGCCATTAAATGAACTCTGTGAATGTGAAGTCAAGTTGCGCCTGTAGCTGGCACATAAGACAACACTATTAAGTGTGGGATCATCTCCCCCACTGTAACTTTTTTTAAGAAAAATGACAAACCTCATTTTAAATGTATTGTGTAAAATGTTTTGGGAAAGGAGTAACAGTGTGTGATGTGTGTGGGTGAGACTTCCCTCCCCATTGCGGTTTCTGATGAAATTTTAAAGAATCGTGTTACTGTATGTTTTGATCATGAATAGTCTGGTGGTGCTTCCTCATAGCACAAGCTTAAATCGAGTACTGAAAACAGTCTTACAAGCTAAGTGTCTGCATGATGTTACATCCGTTGTACCTACTGAGAAACTTTGTATGTAAATGTACAGAATAAAAAGATGTTGTCCCATCGGTTTGCCTTTCGTGGTCTGTCTCCCTCACTGTGACTTTTGATCCTCCAAAAACAGAATGAACCGATTTTAATTCAGGCTAATTAAATCCACACGTTGATTTGCAACTAATTATCCTTTGCATTCAGTCACTGAAGAACAGCTGACTGCTTCCCAGGCTGTATAAATTAAAATCACTTCCAACAGCTGCTTTTGCTGCCGTGATCCTGAACTGCAGCCAAGCATTGGTGGCTGTGCCTACCAGGTAAGAACGGGCCCAGTGCTGCCACATGAACGTGCAGTGCTGATAGCAGGTCTGCAGCCATGGACGTTGCAGCTTCTTCAGACAACTGGAGACTGGCTGTAATCCAACAGCACTCACCAATCTTTGGTGAACCTGGAGTTTTCAGTTGCATCAGAAGTTTGAGTCGGGGCTCAACTTGCAATAAAAAAGAAAAATACTCCATTTGCCCATCAGGTTGCTGTGCTCAGTGTTCCTAAAATCGCTGTGAAGAGTAGGTACTGCTCAACAGCACAGCGTGTATTGACAGCTACAAACAGTCATTACACCAGTGGCTCTGTGGTGTGTTTTGGGGTTTGGGGTTTTTTTCACACAGTTAATTTTAATCTGCCTCTTTTGTCGAACAAAACAGCAGGGGGATTTGCGTTTGAAAGGATATCCTAGCAAGAAGCAAGTCTAGATCTGTAGCAACAGAATGCCTAGCAGTGGTGGGGGTATTGACTGCTCTGATTTTTCCAATGAGTATGTTCAATTTGTACACATGATGTTTTCCTAGCAGCTGGCAGACTTACCCACTGCTCCAGAAGTCAAGCTGTGCTTTTTCCCTCTACGTCGCTGTCAGGGCTGTACAGAAAACCCTTTGTGAAAGCCTCCCAGCGTCCAGAAGATGGAAGGAAATTCAGTGTTTAGTGCTAGTATAGCAGCAACTAAGATGACAGAGCAAGGTAATGTCCGTTGTATTTTACAGCTGTTGAATATAAAAAACAAGTGGTTTCATTCTAATAGTCCCCATTTCAGCTATTACCATCATTTTCCCCTGAAGCAACAGACAGTGCTCTCTGGTACCCTCACAGGTGTTCATACAAACAACTAAAAGCTGCTCTGCCACGTTCAAGTTGCTTCAACTTGGCACTGCTTTCCCAGCAGAGGAAGCAGGCCAGACGTTGTATGCGCTTCTGCAGCGATGTCCTTACAGGGCAGCACCTTTCTACTCGACCAACCTGTACCCAGCTTGGCAGGGTAGCAAATCTGAGGTAAAAACATTCCAGGTCCAACTGTATTTAGGTCAGCTACATTTAATAACAAATGCAAATTCAACCAATGCAATACAAAACAAGCACACTGCTTAATGGCAGTGTGAAAACTGCACTCAGTTCTTCTGAAACAAAAACTTCCAGTTATTTTACAATGATGCAAAGTCAAAACTTCTCAGGAAAAGCCATCATTTCTTCCTTGATCCTGTTTTCTATGAGTAAGGTGAAACTGCTGTCTGTGTTTGGCAGATTGTAGCTGACAAATACCTGTTTTTTGGTCTTCTTGGCTAAAACACAGAACAAAATATTCAGGCATAGTTTACTCCGTTACGAAAACCATGGAGATACTCAAGCATTCATTCTAAAAAACGATCTTGAAGAGGCCCACCAGACCGTTCTCTACTTCCCGCATGCCAGGGCCCAGCTGTAAAGCACCCAGCACATGGACAAAGCTCTGCACATTGCTAGAGTGGGCAATGTAATCCCACCTGGTGACTGCGAATGAGTTTTTGGAGTGACGAAAAAGCCACCAGTTGCTGCAAAACCTCCCCATGCTTTTTGTGCATTTTGGACACTTCTTGAATATAGGATAGTGGAAGGGAAACAACGGAGCAAGCTGAAACTGCATCACTGGCACTTGGTTCATGAAAAACACAGGGGGAGAGTCAACAAGAAACTTATCAGACCACAATTAGCAAAGTTCTTTTTTTTTCATTATCAACATCCCAAAAAGGTTCCCAAAGCTGTGCATTGTGTTTGTCAAAGCCTGCTGTCAGTGGCTGTGTTTCCTCTACTCCTCACTTGTTGTATCCATGAACATCAGAATTTCTGGGCTTCTGCACTGGTAACTACCTGGAGACAGGTGCTATAAAATTAAGAGCTGTCATCCATCACAGAACTAATTAACAGTGACAAAACCAATGCCCACTGGGGCAGGAAAACTTAATTATCAGAGTAGAACAGATGATACAAAGAAGCATTTTATAAATAAAATGGAATTCTACTTAGATATTACCTTTGTGATATCGCTGTTTTGTAACTCCCTTAATAGATGGCTAAAGCTCAACTATTGAAGCACCATAGGGAAAAACAGACACTGGGTTTAAAATAGTTGCATGAAATAAAAGACAAAAGTGGTATTTAGGTCACACCACATTCATGACAGGAGTAAGCTGGGAGCTGCCTGTCCCAAGGAGAAATCAAGAGTGCTCCACTCAGTATTCAAAAACATCATCTGAAATCTAAAAACTGAAAATAAGGACACCAGAAGGTGTAATATCTCAGTCCTTCTTCAGTTGGAAAGTTAATTTCAGAAAACCAATATATGTTTATAATCATATTTTACCACACACACACATATATATAATGTAGCTTAACTACTCCTTTGAGCCATTTTCTTTATGCAAATCTGTTTATTGCCATTTTCCATTCTACCAGCTCACCCGCTTAGCATGGAGAGGCTACACATACACAAAGATTTCTCTAGAAGGGGGCTCCTCCAGCTCACAGGGAACAATCTTCTAGGATACAGGTTTCTCAACAGGTTACATGCATCTCGTGTTAGAGAGTGGAGGCAGAGCATGGAGGTAGGCTGTGGGAAGCAGTCTGTGCACCCAGCACAGATAGAAATAGGTATGTAGGAATGGAAATGCTGCAAATGTTCTCTCATCAGTGGAGGGAAAAAAATAAGGGAAAAGACAGAGCCAGAACACGAAATGCAGCTGTTTGGGCTAGGAAGTCGATCAGACATAAACAGTGGGAGGATGTGCACACACTGACTATGGCAACACCAAAACTCCTGCCCCAGAACAGGGAACCTGGCACTGCAGGAACAAAGCACAGGGGATGGAACACAACTGGGAAGCAGAAGAAATAATACTATTTGCCTCCAGGTGGCATCGTGCGCTACTTAAACGAGTGCCTGCCAACAGTAGAATGGAAATGGCACATAAACGTGGTGACAGCACAGAGAAAAAGAAGTTACTGCCTGCCTGAAGTGTTCCGAGGTGACAGGATGGGTAAGAAGGCTGCCTCAGCTACGGGGCAGGCTGGGATCAAACAGCCATCTCTGTTATTGCAGAAGCTGCAGGAGTACAGAGGATTTATTTCCCTGGAGGAGAGCTCAATGCCAGCCAAAGCAATGCTTGGCATTTCTGCTCAGGGCAGAGCTCACATCTCCTTGCCGCACAGCCCGTGGAACAAAGAAGACACAGAGAGGCTTGACAATAATTTTACACTGATTTCAGTGTAAAACAGCTTTGGACTGAGTGTCCACAAGCACACTTGGCCCACGTTACATTGCTGGGCTGACAAAAGTAAGCCTAGAAACCAGGGTGTAAAATTTCAGAAAGATTCAATTCTCTTTGCAAAGCCCTATTAGCCATTCTGATCAGCAAGCACGGGATTAGTCAAAGCCAGAAGTGTGTCACTGACTTTCTCTTTCCAACCCAAAGTGAAAAAGGTCGCCAGGTCTTCCCCAGTAGGGTGTTCCTTGGGCTGGAAACTACAAGTGAGAAGACAATTTATTAAGAACATAGGTGAGGGCTACCAGGGGGGAAAACTGCAGCTGTGAGCTGAGCCAGACAGGAACACTGACCAAAAGACCAGCTGGGCATGGGAAGCTTAAAATAAAATAATGACAGGTACTGTACAAAGAGAAGGAAGGGATGAAGCTGTGTTATGCTGTGAGGATCAAGAATAACTGATATCCCGGCAGCAAGCTCTTGGTAACAAAGATAAGGACAATGCACTAACTACACATAAAGAAATCATGTTATACAGCACCCCATAGAATTACTAGTGACGGTGGAGATGCCTAAACCTGGTAAGAGAAAGAGCTGCCATCAGGGGAGGCTACAGCAGTAACTGGTAAAAGACAAGTTATTATGATGAGGAAAGGACACCAGTGATGGTTGTCCAAGACTAGCCCTGTCGAACAACCCTTTTTTATATAGGTGTTGGGCCACAAAGAAGTAGGGGCAGGCTCATGGACCTGCCTGGTGCTACAAACTCTTGACACAGTGCCCGTGATCAAGATCCAGCTTGTGAGGAAGAATTACACAACTTTTTTCAACTGAAATGACAGAAGCAAGTAGAAAGCAAGCAGTGCATCATCCTGCATCTAATACCCAGTATGAAGCACATCAGCAGTCACCAGCCAGTGAGCTCCAATAACCTGCACAAGGCTGCTGTTGAAGCTAAGCAGGTGCTAGGTGAATTGACATGATGTGCTGCTACAGGAGGCATGCTAAGGGATGGAGGCATGCATTTGGGTTACTGCACACATTGGCGTTGTGCTGTGAGTACACCAGGATGCTCTAACAGAGGCTGGAGACCTTAAGGACACGGTTTAGTGGTCATGGTAGCGACGGGTTGAAGGTTGTACTTGATGATCTCAGAGGTTTTTTCCAAACTCAATGATTCTATGGTTACATGAAGGGGACAACCCCGGAGGTGTGCCTTATGTGGTGCAGGGGCAGAGCAAGCGCTGGCACCTGTGAGACAGCTTGGGGCTCACCAGGGCAGATTGTGGGCGCTAACCAGTGAGAAATGTGACAGGGTTTGGTGCAATCACCTTCAGCACTGGGTGCAGTTTGGCCACTACAATACAGTGAGAACATAAAGCTATGAGAGAGTATCCAAAGAAGGGCTATGGAAACAGGAGTGGTCTGCAGGGCAAGGGGTACGAAGGGTGACTGAGGTCCCTGGGTTTGTTCAGCCCTGAGCAGAGGAGCTGAGGGGAGGCCTGATGGTGGCTGCAGCTCCTCACAGGGAGCGGAGGGGCAGCGCTGAGCTCTGCTCTGTGTGACAGCGACAGGGCCCAGGGAACGGCATGGAGCTGCGTCAGGGGAGGGCAGCTGGGGTCAGGAAAAGGGTCTGCGCCAGAGGGCGGTGGGCATGGAATGGGCTGCACAGGGCAGTGGGCGCGGCCCCGAGTGCCGGAGTTTAAGAAGTATTCGGAGCAGGACTCGATGGCTCCTGTGGGCATCTTCCAACTCGGGATGTCCTGTCTCTCCGCGGTGCTACGGCCGCCCTCCCGAAGCACTGCTTCCCGGCAGGAAGGCGGCCCGCCCCGCCCCACACGAGGCGCCCCCACAGCCCCCAACCCTACCCCAGGGCTACAGCTCTGTCCCGCAGCCCCGCACGTACCCAGGCGCTGGGCCAGGCAGGCGGAGGCGGTGTCGGAGGGGTCCCCAAGCAGCGAGGTGGACACGGGCACGCTGTCCTGCGGACAAAGCACAGCGTGGGTTGAGCCGCGGATCGGCACCAGGCGGGGCGGGGACACAGACACACACAACATCGATACACACTCACTCGCTCGCACACTCACCCGGGGGCTGCACATAGCCACGGCCAGGCTGGACAGGGCGGGCGCGGCGCCCACCCAGAGGAAGAGCGAGTCCTGCAGCCGCATGGCGTGGAAGTGCACCCGCTGCTCGCCCAATTGCCCGCTGAAATCGTGCAGATCGATGCAGCCCGGCGCTGCACCACTGCCGGCGGCCTCCATCTACTCGGCCAGGCCGTGGCGGGACCGTGGGGGCGGCACCGCGCGGAGCTCCGCCCAGGCAGCGGCGGGACGGGGCGGGGCGGGAGCGGCCATGGCGGCGAGGGGCGGCCGCCAAAATGGTGGCTTCAAAATGGCGGTTGCGGAGGGTGGGTTTGGCGTCCTCGTTCCTGAAGCGGCACCCGCCAGGCTCGGCGGGTCCGCCTCACTAGAGGTAATGAGGCAGGCGAGTGGCGGAGCTGCGCTGGGAGGGGCTGAGTGCTGTTTGTGGGCTGCTGGTGGGCTCTGAGCTCTTCTCTTTGTGTCGCGCTCATCTTTGTGCTTCTGGTAGCTACGGGTTTGCTCTGCATTCAGAAAGGAGGAAAAAAGAAAAGAAAAAGAAAAAAGCGGGCGCTGTGTAGCGTTTCTCGCAGGAGCTGCATGGGTGGTGGTGGTGAGGTGCCGGTGACAGCACCTGCGGGTGGGGGAGGTTTGCCAGTGGGGAAAAGAGCCGTGTGGGGCACAGTTAGGTTGGGCTGCGTTGAGCCTCTGCTGAGCCTTGCTTTCCATCAGCATAAGGGAAGTGAGGGTGAAAGGCAGGTGTGCTGGGCCTTGCAGACATTTGTTCACATAGGTAAATCTTCTGGGTGCCCTGAGCCAGTTTCTCTGCTACCTTAGGCCAGAGCCGGCTCTGCGCTCCTAGTGGAGGCTCTGATCTAGTGGAGCTTCTGCCCAGCGTGCCTCTCCTGCTGGGTAGGAATTGAGGCAGCAGTCCTCTTGTTTCTCCCTTGGTGTTACAACACCAAGTGTAGGTCTCTTCTGTTGCTCACAAGGCTGCCTCCAGGCTTGTTCCTTCCTTGAGCACATTCTGTTCTCCTCCTCAGTGTCATCTCAAAGGTAAAGAGCACTGGTAGCTTTCCCTGGGATCCTGAGACCTCCAGAACCCTTTAAAGCAAGTCCTTAAAGGGTTTAGAGTACCCTTAGGGGGCCCTTCTGCATGTATGCAGTTCTACATATATAAGGTCTTTTGTGAAATACAGCTGCTGCCTGTAGATCACATTGGGTCCATGTTCAAGCTCAGAAAAGTATTCACCTGGCAAGTAAATGGAGGGTGATCATGCTGGTTTGCCACACAATCGTGAAGGGTGAGAGGAAATGTGCAGAACCAGACCATCAAGTGTGAAACATGTTCTAATTACAGCACTGCAAGGCTGTCAGAGCCCCTGCAAAACCAGAGGAGAGCATGATCCAGCAGCACAGGAAACCTCTTGCATTTCTTTTAACATGCTGATCTCTGTTTTGTAGCTGTGAAAGCTGAGCCAGTTGTCATCCATCTGTTCTGTCAGGTACAAGGCCAGGATGAACATCAACTGCAGTGAGGCATCTGATAGAAAATCAATGATAAAGCAAGGATACTGTAGCAAAAAGCACTGCATATGTACACAGGGATGTATTTATGTTGCTGATGTGATGAGGTCCTAGCCCCAGGAGTGTGGTTTAAAGGCATGCACTTCTATTCTTCCTGTTCTTCTCCAGAAGTAATGTTGCCCATGGGAGCAACTGAATCCTACACGCTGAATCTGCAGCCCACCTTTTCCCTCTAAACCATGAGTAAATCTCCTTCCTGATAACTTAAGGGCTAACGGATGTAAAGCACACGATTATGAACTGGGATGTTGCTGAAAGAAACAAATATTTTTATAGAATCACAGACTCCTTTGGGTTGGAAAGGGCTCTGAAAGGTCATCTAGTCCAACTCCCCTGCAGTGAACAGGGACACCTACAGATAGATCAGGCTGCTCAGAGCTCCAGCCAGCTTAGCACTGTATCTCTCCAGGGATGGGGCATCCTCATCTCTGAACTATTCCAGTGCCTCGCCACACTTATCATACAAAAAAGAAACAACAAACCTTCTTTATATCCAGTCTAAAACTTCCCTCTTTTAGTTTGAAGCCATTTCCCCTTGTCGTATTACAAGGGACCCTGCTAAAGTGTCCGTCCCTTCTTTTCAATAGCCCCCCTTGTGTTAGGGACCTAAAGGGACTTGACTGAAGAATGATCCAGGGATGAAATAAAGTATCCTGACAGTTTTAAGGGAACTGATGCTTGTTGCAGGAGCTGCAAATATCTTGTTTTGTAGAGAGAGCTGACCTTGGCAGTTTATCTTGTTTTTGCAAAGACCTGTTTTGCAAGCAGGTGTTCCACTTGGGCTCTCTATCACATGTTGTCCACGTGGGTACAGGGCGCAAATGGAAAAAAACCTGCAGACCCCAGGGAGAGTAAAAAGCAGGAGAGAGGCTGTGGTGGGAGAGAGAGGAAAAGTGCACCTTGAAGCAGGAGACCTGTTCTTTCTTTCTCCTTTTGATGGTTTGCCATCTCTCAAGAGTCAGTAAGTAATAGTGCACTTGCTTAGGGAGTTTCTGCTGCCTGCTTATGAGGATTATCTAAAATGGATGCCCATGTATGTGTGAGTGTGTGTGTGCTGAATAAAACCCATAACCCTCTGTGCTGCTCTCAGTGCATAGTTTGCTTGCCTCTGCTGCTGAAAAATCCTGTCTCTCAGATCCAAACGTACCCTGGAACACCCCTTTAGGTACTGAAAGGTCACTATCAGGTCTCCCCATAGCCTTCTCTTCTCCAGGCTGAACAGCCCCAGCTCTCTCATCCTGTCCTCGTGCAGGAGGTGTTCCACCCCTTGGATCATTTTTGTGTCGCTCCTCTGAACGCACACCAACAGTGTCCACATTTCTCCTGTACTGAGGTCTCCACATCTGAACACAGTACTTCAGGTGATGTCTCACCAACGCAAGGAGAGGGGCAGGATCACCTCCCTCAACTTGCTGGCCGTGCTTCTTTGGATGCTGCCCAGTTGGCTTTCTGGGCTGTGAGGGCACATTACTGGCTCTTGTCTAGCTTGTAATCCACCAGTACCCCCAAGTCCTTTTTGTCAGGGCTGTGCTCCATTCTTTCATTCCCCAGCTTGAACTGTTAGCAGCAGTTTTCATGACCCAGGTGCAAGACCTTGCACTTGGCATTGCAGAACCTCGTGAGGCTCTCCTGGACTCACTGATTGAGCCTGTCAAGGTTCCTCTGGATGGCACCCCATCCCTCAGGCATGTCAACTGCACTAAACAGTTTGGTGTCATTCACAAACTTGGTGAGAGTACTCTGGATTCCACTGTCAATGTCATTGCTGAAGATATTACAGAATGTCAGTCCCAGCCTGACCCCTTAGGGACACAACTTGTCACCGATCCTACAGTTTTCTTCTGCAGCAATAAGGTGTGCATTTGACACATGAGAAAAGCAGTTGACCATTAACGTGTATCGGATGAAGACTGCCTCAGAATATTCCAGGTTTCTCAATTTGTTGTCTTTTTGCAGAGGAATAAATGCCTGTTATATAGTAAGCCAAAGGAAACCTTCCATCTGCTCCATCCAGTGAGTCTAGGATGGATGTTGCAACTGGTGCAGCTCTGGGCTTCCAGGGTCCCTACCTTGCTCTGAATATTGAACTTCCTTTCATCTAACTGGCCATACCCCTGCTCGAATGTTTGGTCTAATGGAGGGCAGCACAAGCAGGCGAGAAAGGGAGAAGTGCTTCTGCTTCTACCATGCAGTTGCTGCGACAAACTAAAGCAATGTTAGGTGGAGCCGCCCTGGTCCTGCTTCCTAGGCCTTGTCAGATGTGTTGATGAGTCAGTGTGGGGAGCTAAGCTGACCAAAGCTGTTCCTTCTGGTTAGCAAGTTAAGCTCCTTGAGGAAGGCGAGCTGAGGGAGAGGAGGCAGCAGCAACTAGCAAGAGGTGTTCAGCTGTGATGGGAAACTGCTCCTGGGCCACCCAAACATAATCACGGTCCTTTGTTCACCCAAAGTCTCAAAATATCTGTACCAACCATTGTCCAGCCTCATTTTGTGGTCCCAGAAAGAAGGCCAAAAGAGAATTCAAGCTGAATTTCAGGAGTTGTAAGGGGAGTGCACTGAACTCCAACTATGAATTACATGATCCAAAGCAATATCAAGGTCAATTCCTCTTGAAAAGCTCACATCTGAGAAAGCATATGTAAGCAAATGTAAAATCTAGATGACAAGCAATTACATGTTTATTATGATGTTAGCAGAACTGCTCTAAGAACCCCCGGTGCCAGGATCTTAGGTGCATCTGAGGATTCCTGGATAGGTATCACTGAAGGAAATCCAGTTCCTGACTTGCTAAGGACTTAAGGTAGCAGCTCTTCCCCTGGGGGAAAGTCTCTTCTTTTCATGGGGTTGGTACCCACAGCTGTTGGCATTTCTGATGGGGTGCAGAAGGCTGGCCAGCAGTTCACTGTGACCTGCTGCAGTGTCGTGGGCCAGAAATCAGGTTTCATGCCCCCCTAGCGCTGTGGCTGTATTCAAATGCCTTCCACTCTGCTTCATTTCATTCATCTGCAGAGTGGAAGTGTGGCAATCCTGCCTGTCTCCCTGCAGTTGAATGAATATCTGCATAACTCAGATCTCAAGGAGCTTTCTGAGCACAGAGTAAATGGTTTAGACATTTTCTTTTTGTTGTTATGAGTCATGGGAGGAACTTGTCATAGATCTATCAGAGCTTCTCAGACACGTGGGTCTGTCTGTGGATGCTGGACGTGGCACTGACACTGAGTGACTCATTGCTCCCTCAAGACAAGAAGAGGTTGTGCAATCAAATGGAAATCATATTTTTTACACATATAGAGCATTTCACCCTGGAGAAACCCCAGACAGCTTGCAAGCACTGACTCCGGCACGTAGAAGCCGTATTGAGATTTGCAGCTGCAGTTGGCTACTACATGCCTGTGACAAGGCTGCAGTGGGACTTGGAAGAAGGGACACAAAAGCTTAGTGGAAATAAGCTTTTGAAAGGCTGAGAGAAGCGTGAAAAGATGGTACTGAGCAATGTTTTCCTTCTATTGCTGGATGGAATGCCCAGATCCCACATGGCACTCAGCACACATGCTGGATGCTGCTATCTTTCTGTCCTTAGGCCACCAACAGAACCAAGGCTGGGTGTCAGCATCCTC